GCTCTTAAATCTTCAGGTTTTGTCAGCTGTATTTGATACCATGGGACATCAGATATTATTGGGAGTAGCTAGAGAGAGTGGGGGTTAGATGGAATGCTTTCCAATGGTTTCTTTGTTAATTGTTAAAATGTACACAGTGCGACTGAACAACAACAACACAGTTTACAAAGAAAAGCTGAGTCATCAGTATGGACCATGAGAAATGGTATCCTTCAGTGGTATTTAATATCTCTATTAAGACACTGAATGAGTGCATCTGTAGCTTTTGGAACTGGGTGTCATCAGTATGCTGATGATGATCAGCTATACTTCCAGAAATGATCTTAGGTCAGTATTTGAGCATTGTACTCAAGACAATGAGGGTGAGCAAGCCAAATCTGAATCTAGGCAAGACAGTAGTTGGGACATGATGGTCTGGATAGGATTGAATTACCAACTTCTGATGGGTGTGGCTGACTTTAGTTAATAAGGTGAAGAGTTTGGGTGTATTCTTGGGCCCAGCCTTGCAGAAGCAGGTAGCAGCTCTCACTTTGTTCATCTTTATCTTATTCAGAAACTGTCTTCCCTAGTCTAGACTCAGTTTTCCTAGCCCAACTGATCCATGCTTCTATAACCTCATGATTAAACTGTATTCTATTTGGGGCTGCCCTTGAAAATGTTTAGAAGTTTTAACTGGTATAAATAGCTAGATCTTACTAGTATTAAAACAGCAGCTCTGCCTTCCAGTATGTTTCCAAGCTCAATCTGAGATACTAGTACATACCTTCAAAACCCTTCACAGCCAGGATCCACATATTTGAATGTCTGGTGCTCCTGGGCACCAACTCCATGTATCCTGACACTTCTTCCTGACAGTGCCTTGCTGTAGTTAGTGCACACCACTGCAGCCCATATAAGAATTTTTTCTACTAGACATCCCACCATGTGGAATATGCTCTTGGAAGCCCCATCTATTTCAGGAAGGGATGTGATTGCATTATTAGAGAAGGCCTTTGGCTGAGGGTATGGATCTTTGATCTTAAGAGAAACCATTTGATGAGTACTACAATAATTTCTGATCTTGTTATTCCAGGGAAGATGTTTGCTCTAGAAGCATGATTTTATTTCTATATTGTAAGCTGCTCTGAGCTGTTTGGAGAGCAGGATACAAATCTTTTATCACAGGGAATTTTTTTTGTATTATTCTGAGTGAAATCTCCCTTGCATTGTAAAGGTTCATACAAACCAAGGGGCAGGCATTGTACAGGTAAAGAGAGTCAACAAGCTACTTAATTTGGAGTATCCTATTTTTAAGAATGAGTGATACAAGAATGCATCACTTTGATCTCATTTTCATACAGCCACTTGCATTGCCACCCTGATCCAGTGAGAATCCTGAGTGCTCAACACTTCAGAAGCAGCTTGAACTTAAAAATGGGGTGATTCTTTAAAAAATTGGACTTTGGGGGATTCCTTTTTTCTCGCGTATACAAGCTATTTTTAAAAGGCTAAATATGGTTTTTAGAATCACAAAGAAACTTTGAATTTGTCTTAAGGAAAAAAAGTTAAATTAATTAAATTATGTTTAGGGTTTAATTCCGCCCGCCGCCCGCCCCCCGGCATTATGTTTGGGCTTCTCTATCCCAGCTCTGTACAGTAGATACTGACAAGTTCAGATAGGTTTACATGTGGCGTTATTTGGGTATACATAACTCTTAAGATTATCTTTGAGAGGTTACATACACACTGGTTATATAAGAAACTAGACCTTCAGTCTGAAGGTAAGTGGAGAGGACCATGTTGTTATATAGTCTTATTATCTGGCCAAGTAGTGCATTTTTAAATTAAATTATTTTTATCTGTAAATTAAAGAGAAGCATGCTATTTAGGCTTTTAAAATGATTGCTGTAATTATCAATTTGTATACTACACCATATTATTGATAACGGTAGATATCTGCTTCTCTAGTATGCACTGCACACAGAATGGAGATTGAAGGCATCTCCTGTATTGTAGTACCAGCCTCCTGGAGTTACAACTGATCTCCGGACTACACAGATCAGTTCCCCTAAAGGAAATGGCAGCTTCAGTAGATAGATTCTATGACATCACATCCCTGCTAACCTTCCTTCCCTCCCCAATCACTGTGGAATTGGCAACCCTATATATGATCTAGAAATTAAATATTCTAATTTAAAGGTTTGGCAAATCTGTTAACAAGCTAGAAACATATATTATACTACAAGGTCATACATTGTTCCGTTTTGCCCTTTTCATACCACATAAATACTGTTTAAACACTATATGACAACCTTGTAACATCAGACATACCATCTTGGATGCATTAACATACACTTCCAATACTATTGTGTGTCAGCTCTCTACACAGGACAAACACATCCATGTGCAAAATAATAAATGAACAAATCTGACATTAAAAACAACCTCCTAAGACATGCTGTTGCTCATCTAAAAGTCACCATTTTTCAAACACAGAAATCAGTGTGAAAGTACTGTACTGGGATTCATGAAGAAATTTAACTAGTATTTCCCAGGGCCTTAACAAGGACTTGGAATTTCTTAGACATTACAGGTGTTAGCAAAACTAGGGTGATTGTTGGTAATACTATTACTGATATTGTGAATGGTTATCTGTACTTCTGTAGATTACATATGCTGTTTAAAACTCTGATCTGCCAAATGAGGGCGCTCCTTGTGCATTGGATAAAGTGGGCTCTATCTCACAAAAGTTTATGCTAGGCTAAAATTTGTTTCTCTTTAAGGTACTACTTGACTGCTAATTGTTTATGGAATTATAAGTATCAGTAGTTGCAAGTGAAGTCAGACTTCTTGCATGAATAAAATTGCTCTGATACTTTAGAGTTGTACAGTTATGCCATTTCTTCCTTTTTCAATAAGTATATTAACTGCTTCTTACTATGCATGTTTCTTTCTGTGCTGATAGTTAATTCTCACCAAACACTAAATCTCAACTGCCACCTCTGTCTGTAGATTCTGTCTGTTTTACAAGGGAATTTGCACTGAAATCTGCTTTGTATGAAATACGACATTAGTGTTTGAAAGTACCTGCCATCGCATCCCCCAGAAGTTGAGCGTTATTTTTTCACTTTCTCCACAATTGTTAAGTCTTTATCCATTTAGGCTATATACAGATAGTAGTTTCATTATGTGCAATATATATATGACCTTTATGGTGGTGGTTTCCCAGCTATTGTCTCTAGTCAAACTGGGTTTTGTGGATTTTCTGATACTAAGATTTTCTCAGGAAAACTTGCAGGTGTCTGTTGGTCAGTGCCCATGGTTAGTAATAGCTTCCTAACATCAGGGACAGAGGCAGACGGGTCATTATACCCACTGAGGAATTTCTCGGTAGACGGATGGCCTGCCCCCTCCACAAGAAGTGCTGTGGAAGACTGGGGAATGTGGCTTCTGGGAAGGTGCCTCCTAGCCTGGGCGAGCCAGGCAAAAGGGCCTGCCAGAGCTGCAGGACCAGTTGGCTCCTTCTCCCTCCCTCCCTCCATAAAGTTGAAGCGAATGACTGACTATTTTTCTTGTACTTTCCTCAAAACTAAGTGAGCATTGTCCAAAGCTTGTCATTCCCTTTCATGAAGAAAAACGTTCCATGTGTACACAGTGATTGCACAGGGCCTGAATTGAGTATTGCCTTCTTTTATTAGAGAACAGGGAAGGCCCATGCATCAGAGCAGTTAGACCAGGGGTGTCAAACATGTGGCCTGGGGACCAGATCAGACCCCCAGAGGGCTTCTATCAGGCCGTCTTCTTCTTCCAGTTCTGCTGCTGCTGTGTCATTGTAGCTTTGCAGATTACAGATACACACCTGAACAGCATACTCAAGATTGCAACAGCATAGACATTTTGATGTAATAATTCAGAGCAAGAGGTGTCAGTTATCAGACACTGTTAAATAAACAAAATATTGCAAGAGTGCTAATGTTTTAAGCATGTTTTTATTTTAAGTAAAAAAAACACCTTTGTGTTTGTGTCCTTTATAAAGTTTATATCTCCACTACCTGGCATTACATTTTATGACACACAAGGCCAGGCCCGACAAGGTCTCATTTATGTCAGATCCTCATAACAAATGAGTTCGACACCCCTGAGTTAAGACTGTAGCCAATCTAGTATAATACCCAGAAATGTATCCTTAGACACATGGCTTTACTTTTTTATACCCTGAAATACCCTGAGCAATAAGAAATTATGTCTGTTGGAACTTATTATTAAAAGAAAATGGTATTTCAAAATTGGGGTCCAGGTAAGTTTGAAAAATAAAGAATGGTGCTTTTTTGTGAGTTGAATATAACGAACACTACCCTCTCAATTGCACGGGATCGCAAAACAACAAAGCACCCCAATTTTTAGAATGCTTTATGCCTTACCTTTGAGGTATGAATGATAAGCCAGCAAGGGAGAAAGCTGTGGGTCAAAAGGGGCCCAAATGGTTCCCTTGCACATTAGATTTCAACTTTTAACAGTAGACAGCTTTCAGTGAAAAGGGTATAAGAAAATGACAAAGGAACTTGCAGGCATCAGCTGACATAGAAAATCATAAGAGTATCTGTCACATTGTACCCTCACAGCCTCCAGTGGAGCTTGTGGCTTTTTTCCTTCCCTTTTTTCTTCTTACTGATGAAATCATCCTGATACTCTCCACCTTCCCCCTTTTCTTTCTTTCTCTCTCTTTTTAAAAATATCCACAGAGGCCTTCCTTTATGTTTTCCTAATAATTAGCAGCAGAAGTACTATTCCTCCCCCCTCCTTTCAAGTGATGAATAGTTGGCCCTAGATCAAGGACAAGCCCTAGTGGGTTTTTTGGCGGCCACAAAAGGGTGTTGGAGTTGGCATGGATCCCAGCTGCTTAGTGATAGACATGTAGACTAGGTGCCAGGCAATTGGGGTCAGTGGCAAAATGTCTGTACACATTCTTCATCTGAGATAATCAGGTTTACTTTTTGTGTGTATGTTTGTGTGTATTTCAGGCCAACAACCGTTTGAAGCAGATTGAAAAGGAATACAGTCAGAAGTTGGCCAAATCTGCACAGGTAGGAAACAAAAACAAACAAAAACCTTCCTTAGAAAGTTCTTTCAGTTACAAGAAAGACAGAAGCATTGCTTGCTTTTGTTCTTACAACCCTAGAATTTAATTTCTGCTCCCCTCCCTCCTGTTTCCCCCTTCACACAGCTATACTCTTGCTTGTAACTCTAGCAGCCATTTACTTCAATTTGATTAAAATGAAAAATTGATTGCTAACCTCTTTTTTATTGTAGAAACACTGTTAACCTAAGACAAAACATGGCAAATTTCAAATTCTCCAAGACTATAAAGTTTGTTACTTTCCCCCCCTACTCCCTGATCATTTGGGCATTCTGTACTCTACATGATACCACCAGAAGGCAGGGCTAGAACTTTCCAGGTTATTTTACGGGATGGATTCCCTGTTTGCCTCAGACTGGTCCTAGTCAGCAGGCAACAAAATGGCAGTTGAGTTTCTGAGAAGCTCTCAGATGTCAGAAGGATCTACTTTCCGTATCATTTTTTTTTAACCGACTGTGTAGGGTTGCTCCTTTGTTTGGAAGGGTGCTTCAGAAGAGAGCTCCAGAGGAGTGATTCAACTCTTCCAGATGGAGAGAGCAAAGGTCAAATCACTGCCATATATTTAGTTGCTGCTTCTCTCTTAACTATATATAAAGTACTGAGGCTGATCCGTTGAAGAGTGATTACAGCTCATACTTTATTTAGTTACATTCAGATCTTGAGATGCCGCCAGCCGGCTTATATTCCTGAATCACCCCACACCCAAACACACACACGTGATTGAATATTTACAGTGCACCCCTAGTCGGCTTATATTCCTGAATCACCCCACACCCACACCCAAATACACACACACACACATATGATTGAATATTTACAGTGCACCCCTAGTCCCTTCCAGGATCCTAGCTTCCCAATAGGTGCGCGCTAGGATCCGTTCGGGTTATTGTCTTTGGAGATGAAGCTCAGGCCCTTCGTCTGACCACGTGTTGACTCGACTGCGTGTGCGGACTTCCCTGGGTACACAACACTATAAGTTGGGCTGAGCAACACCATGCCATGCTGACCTTTCCCATACAAACTTTGAGTAGAAGAGAAGCAGGAACACAACACAACCAGAGCCAGAAGTTGTCTCAGCAGAGCTCCACTTCTCATCCTTACCAAGACCAGTATAACTGACATAAGCATATCAGGAACAAGGAGAAGTAACTCAGTAAGAGCATTGGTGATCAGGTCTCTGAGCCTGAGGAAGCATAAGCACAGAACCAGCTCAAGAGGGAGTGAGTCAGTAAATTACCTGCTCCATACTACCTAGGCCATGCACATCTCCCTAACTATGGGAACAATTGGGACTTGGTTTGATTTAACTGAATGGAAATATAAGGATGATTATGAACATAAGAAGAGCCTCTTGAATTAGATCACAGGTTCATGCCGTCCACTATTTTGTCAATCCCTGTGCCCAACCATATGCTCCTGGGAAGCCCAAAAGGAAGGCAAGAAAGTAATAGTCTTTCCCTGCTGTTTCATAGTCAGAAATCCAAGTTCTACCCTTTGAAGCTGAAGTCAACGTTCAGCCTTACCTATATGACTGTAGCTGAAATTCAGCTTCTCTGTATTTGGTTGCTAGGCTGATGTCCTTTCTGTTCCATATTTGATTCATGCTCATCATTGCTGTGCGACCCAGTGTGATTTGACATTTTGTTTCTGGACTGCATTTGCCATTTTGGTTGGTCTGTGATCCTAAGAAGTGAATTCTTCCACACATTTGATCTCTTCATTGCCAATTGTTATTTTGATGGTTTTCTTCTTCTCAGTGGTTATGATCTTGGTCTTTTTGATGTTTAGGAAGAGGCCAAACTTCTCATTTTCCTCTTTGATTTTCTTGATCAGGTATTCTTCTTTAGTTTCCGAGAGGAGGGTTGTGTTGTCAGCATATCGAAGATTGTTGATATTCCAGTTTTTACCCTGGTTTTTTACTCTTCCAGCTCTAACTTCCTTATGATTGTTTCGGCATATGGGTTGAATAGGAAAGGTGAAAGAATGCAACCTTGTTGTACTCCTTTCTCTATCTTGAACCAATCAGTATCTCCGTTCGGTGTTCACACAATGGCTGCCTGGTTTGTGTGCAATGATTGTATCAACTTGACCAGATGTGCTGACACCACCAGATCTTGTAGGGCTCTCCACAGTTTGTCATGATCAACACAGTCAAAGGCTTTCTTGTAATCGATGAAGCATAAGTAATCTTTTGATACTCATGGGATTTCTCCATGATCCAACGCATATTTACCACATGGTCGCGAGTGCCATGCCCCCTTCGGAAGCTGGCTTGGACATCTGGTAATTGCTTTTCGATGGCTGGTGCCAGGCGTTGTTGTATAATTTTTAAGCAGAATTTTGCTTTGACGGATGAGAATGATTGTGCGATAATTGGAGCAGTCTTTGGAATCTCCCTTTTTTGATAGTGGAATGAACACTGAGCATTTCCAGTCCCTTGGCCATGTGTTGGTTTCCCAAATTTTCTGACACAGGGCTCTGATAATTGAAGGTGGTACAGGCCTCAGCAGTTCTGCGGAGATGATGTCAACTCCTGGAGCCTTGGTGTTTGGTAATTGGCTCATTGCCCACATGATATCTTCCTCAAGGATGGCTGGTTCTTTCTCAGCTTCCTTTTCCTTGGAATCCTGAGGTTGGGCTTCTTTGCTACTAATGTACAGCTCTTCTGTGTATTCTCGCCATCTGTTTTTCACATCTTGTTGGTTGGACAGTTCTTTCCCTTGCTTGCTTTTGTTAGGGCCTTCATGGGCAGTAAATGGTGTTTGAATCTTTTTGACTTGCATAAATGCAAACTTGGTGTAGCCCTTTATGCAGTCCTCTTCTAGCTGATTGCAGCACTCGTCACACAACGTATATTGTATATATCGAGGATAATTATATATTATAGAGTGTATAAAGCAGAAAACATTTCTCCCCAACATCTCCATCATTATAATTTTTAAAACGTTATCTATAAAATACAATGGTCCTTGCTTCTGTTGGGGTACTTTTGTATTCAACATTTTAAATTTCAGATTTCATAACTGAACTGTTTTGCAACTACATTATTAGTTTCATCATTACTACATATTCAATATTACATATTTCACCACTTTTACATAGTTGCTGTAATTAACAGACAGGTTATATAGGAAAGTATAAAGTATATAGAATATAAAGGAAAGTCTATTATATATCTCATAATAAGAAAATAAAAGATATTTCTGCTCAAAATCCACTTCCTTATGTATTTATATTCAAGATGTTACATTTAAAACTTGTTCTCATTCTGCTTCTGTATTGCAATATGTTTAAATACAATTTTTAAACTGTTTCTCATTCTACATTTGTGTCCTGCTTGCATAATATACACTCCATCTCTCCTCAAATTTTGTAATTGATCTGTTTTTCAAATAGGTTGTCAAATAGGTTACTGTATAGTTCGCAATTTTATTTTCCCATTCTTCTATGCTTGGACAGACATCTAATTTCCATTTTGCTGCACACATAATTCTAGCCACTGTCACCATGTATTTGAATATCTCTTCCAAAACTTTTGGTAATTTATTAGGCAGTATACCTAATAGCATACTCTTAGCTTCCATAGGGATTTTAAATGTTAAGGTGTTCTGCATTTTCCCATGTATTACCTTCCAGTATCTTTTTTGCTTTTTTACAAGTCCACCACAGATGGTAAAAGGTTCCATCTATGGCTTGACATTTCCAGCATTTTCTTTTATAGTTTTGTCTACTTTCTCAGTATCCTTTGGGGTTATATAACATCTAAAAACATTTTGTACCAGTTTTCTCTGAATTTCTGCTCTCTAAAACCAGTTTCTACTCTCTAAAATTCTGCATCCATTTAATCATACTTTTCCCCACTTTTTCTCTAATTATATGATTCCTTTCTTGTGTTATGATAATCTTCTTCTTGTTGCATTAAGGATTTCATTATCATTTTGTCTTCTTCCTGTTGATTTTGTGTCCTGAGAAGGATCCAAATTCTTCAATATATTCCATTACATACTGTGACAATTTTGGGGGATCCAAGACTGTTAGAACCACATCGTCTGCATAGCTTTTCATTTTAAATTCTACATCATCCACTTTTATTACTTTGATCCTTGTGTCCTGTCTGATATTTATAGCTAAAATCTCTATCTCTAGGATAAATATTAGGGGTGACAACGGACATCCCTGGCATGTTCCTTTTCGATTGAAATTGCTTCTGTTAATTTTCCGTTTCTTAAAATCTTTGCTTGTTGGTTCAAGTATATACCTTGCATCCAGTTCCAGTATTTAGGGCCACAGCCCATATTTTTAAGTACATTCAGTAGAAAAGGCCATGTTAAATTATCAAATGCTTTCTCTGCAACCCAAAATAAAAATGTTCTCTCTCTCTCTCTCTCTCTCTTCTTGTTCACAATTTCGATTGCATCTATTATGAATTGTATAGTACCATTCATGTACCTCTTTGGTACAAAGCTTGTTTGATCAGTGTGTATTAACTTTGGTATACGGTTTATTTATTTATTGGATTTATACCCCACCCTCCCCGCCAAAGCAGGCTCAGGGCGGCTTACATAAAAGTGTTAAAACAGTTTAAAAACACATAAAATCTAAAGTGCAATGCATACATATATTCCTATGTGACAGCAGTCATAATCCAATTTTTTCATAACAGGAGTCAGTTAGTACAGACTTAGATGATGCAAACAATCCCAGGGAGGTTCCAAGTTATCAGGATGGATGTTAAATGTGGTCAAATGCGTGGTGGAAGAGCTCCGTCTTGCAGACTTTGCGGTATTGAAGTAAGTTCCACAGAGCTCTGGTGTTTTCTTTGTCTTTCTGCCCATTATTGTGGCATTTATAATCTATGTTCAGCAGAGATAGGTCTATATGACTTTGGTAGCATTGCATCGCTTCCTTCTTATTTTAATTTTTTAATTATTATGTTGTCGAAGGCTT